CTTTCTTTTATGCAAGCTGGAATATTTTATTAACTGTCTTCAGGGCAGAAATCTATAATTGTTTGCATTTTAAAATCCTCCTTGTGAGTTTCTCAAGTCTTTTTGTTAGCCTGTTGCTAAAGCTTGGGTCCTTGCCAGTTTATAAACAGAACACATCTTCATCCATATATTTACATGCCCAGCAGGAACTTTCCCCACCCCCTTTCCCTTTGAAAGCAATTTGTTTCAGTGTTTTAGCATACAAAAAGAGAGAACCATTTTCTTAGTGTAAACAGAGATCTGCAGGGAAATAAGAGCTTTAAAAATGAATTAGCATTTGTTTGGTGGCAAAGCTGCTTTTATTTGTATCAGAAAGCTCTGAATGTTAGAAGGGCTTGCCTAATCCTAGTTGTTCCATACATAAGAGGGTCCTAATGGTATGATTTTTCTAATCTTTATTGAATCTTTGTGTATTTCTTTTTTTTTTTTTTTTAAAGATTTTATTTATTTATTTGACAGAGAAAGACACAGCGAGAGAGGGAACACAAACGGGGAGTGGGAGAGGGAGAAGCAGACTCCCTGCCGAGCAGGGAGCCTGATGCGGGACTCGATCCCGGGACTCCAGGATCATGACCTGAGCCGAAGGCAGTCGCTTAACCAACTGAGCCACCCAGGCGCCCTCTTTGTGTATTTCTTACTGTGGAATGAGAAAGGTTCTTGGAACAATGGAAATAATGGGCATTAGTTCCCCAAACAAATACTCCCAATGTACGACCTACCTGGTGCCCATCTATTTCGTAGTGCTTGGTGAGCTGAGTGCAGGAAGTAGAGGCTGGTAACAGGTGGATTCAACAAAGGAAAAAATGTACCCATTCTCCCCCCGCTCCACCTGTACTAATAGTAAAAGTTTATTAATTTGGGCTTTGCACTTTAGGGATTTATTTAGATTCTCAGCTTGGCTGAGGGTTAGCATTGCAGGAACGATGAGAAAACGGATTGTTCAGCAGATTAATAGTGTAAATAAGATTGCGGGGGAGAATATTAAGCTACCTAAAAGGATCTCTTGTTTGCCAGCACTAAAACACTATTTCAGCAAATTGTTAGTATCTAATGCAGATAATTTATGTTGGGTTGATTAAGTATCTATCTGTTAGAGCAATTAAGATAGAACCTCATTTTGACCACAGGACCTTGTTCTAGCAACATCTTGTTAGCTCATGTAACTATGAGACTTTCTCAAATGATCTATTTTCTCCTTAAACCATGTTGGAGTAGCTTCGTGCTGGTTTTGGAGTTAGTAGACCTGTAGTTAATGGCCTAAGATTAAGGTGTCCTTTTGAAAAGCTACTTAAGTTGCCAAAGCCTTAGTTTTTTTGTAGGTCAAATGACTGGTGATCTGGCCCTGGATCAGTAGCTCTCATTGGGTGTATCAAAATCACCTTGGAAGCTTTTTCAAAATATATCTGATGTTCTCCCCAACCTCCTTTAAAATTCTATGTACCCCTACTTTAAAAACTGATATCCTACACGATCTTTACAGACTCTACCAGCTCTGAAAATGATACTGCTCAATATTCTATAATTAATAGTTTTTAGGAATTTCATGCTTTTCAAGTATTTATTGTGCCTGCTATGTGAAATATACTACAATAGAAGCTGCAGGGGACACTGAGATGAAAATATGACTTTGCCTTCATGGTGTCTATAATCTAGTAATTCTGTTGGTTGCAACTCAGCTCCAAATCACTGAGATTTTATTCCTATATTAGGATTTGGATGATGCTGTTTTCACCACTGAACTTTTAATGAGTAAAGCCTCCTGTTCCTCCCCCTCCCCCCAAAGAAAACCCACAAATGATTGACAAGAGAGCAGGGTTTTTTAAAGTGGGACTCTTTGACTTTTCATCAGAATCCTCTTGGATAGCTTTTAATTAAGTTTCCTGGGCCCACTCAACCTTCCTGAAACAGAATTTGAGGGATGACCCAGGAATCTGAATGTTAACACTCCAACTCGAGGTGTTTACTCAAGGTGATTCCTAAGAAACTCAAAGTTTGGGAAGCAGTGCCGTGATTAATGATGAGAAATACAGCATGAGTCTGAAAAAATGAGATCAGGCGAGGCCGGCTAATGTCCTGCAAGAATTGCATTTTTCAGGTAAGTGTAGATACATTTAAAGTTAAGTAAGAACAAATAGAAATTCTTGTTATTCTAATTTCATCTTTGGTCGAAGTTGCAGGGCTTGAAGGAACATTATCATCAGTAGAAATTGTCCTAGATGACTTCGCTGGGAGAAATAAGAGTGAGCTTCTATATAGGTTTATACATTAGAAAACGCCTTTCATTTTCTAAAGAAAACTACATGCATAGCAAATGCTGCTTTGACAAAGGTCCAGGTACAGAAGAGTTCATATGGCAATTCAATGCAAAACCTTCTGGTTCCTGTTCTGGGGGAAGGTGCTAGGATATATACGCATGTGTATGTGAGTATGGCACACATACTCAGACTTCTTTGGGTTATAGCTGGTATTGTACAGTGTATGGCCATTCTTCTTTTAGTCTAACATGGAATTACATCCATTCAAATAAATTACATCACCATCTTGATTTATTTGGCAAGACCAGTATGTGGGCTGGGGCGCCTGGGTGGCTCAGTTGGTTAAGCGACTGCCTTCGGCTCAGGTCATGATCCTGGAGTCCCGGGATCGAGTCCCACATCCGGCTCCCTGCTCAGCAGGGAGTCTGCCTCTCTCTCTGACCCTCCCCCTTCTCATGCTCTCTATCTCATTCTCTCTCTCAAATAAATAAAACCTTTAAAAAAAAAAAAAAAAACAGTATGTGGGCTGACCCCCATGACCTTTCCTCAGAAACAAATGCTAAGTTTTGAGTTGAGTTTTGGTGTTAATGGGCATTGAGAAGCTGTCAGCTCTTATTTCTGTTTGTGTTCAAGTCGACATCATTGAACTTCACCTAATGATCTGTGTAACACCCCTGTGTGGCTCAGATTAAAAGTAGAAAGGCAGAAGTGATGATGGGGGCAGGTGGAAGGAAAGTGTGGGAGAGGCAATTTGTAATTTACAGTGTAACTAAAAATCAGTAGTCACCTTTAAAAATAGGAAAAGGAAAACTGATATGTACTAAATTTTGTTGCCACTGAGTGAATAGAAGGGATATCCTTTTCAAACGGATTTTCCATTCATTTTTAGAAAGGTAATCAATACTGTGACTAGTATTCTCTGGGTTTGAGTGCCATTTCCCTGGCTGATTAAAAATAATAATGATTTAGGCTTTTCTGATGAACAGGTAATAGATGGACCTGATTTTTCCTGGTATATATGCTTTCTCCACTTGCACATCTCCTAGGGTGATTAGCTGTCCCTGTGTGCCTGTGAGTCTGTATTAGCACTGGAAGTCCTAAGTTCTGGGAAACTCTAAATCCTGAGCAGACCTGGGATAGTTGGTTACTATGAATTCACCCATATTCAATCTATTCAGATCAGACAGATGTTTTCTGATGTGTCTCTCCATTCTCTATAATGGTCTTTGATGGAAACCTACAGCTTTGTCTAATTTTTTGTTTAACTTGAAAGGTAGAGCACAGAAATCTAACTTGTGACAGTCTTGGTTTGAATGCCTGTTTTGCTGACCCAGAACTTGAGTGCTGGAAGGATCTTTAGCTTTTGCATCCAGCCTTTTTTCCAGAGGAAGCAACTGAAGCTCAGAGAAGATGGTTGGCTGACTGTTTGAAGTTCACTCAGTTAGCTTGAGATGGATTCAGACCTTGAGCCCAGATCTCCTGACTTCCAATCCCCTGTTTTTCTCATATTTCTCAAATGTGCTTGAAAGGTGCCCTGGGCACTCAAAGGCATGAACTTGCTTTGAGAAACTGAGCAGCTTTGTGCCAGGAAGAAGCTGATCGACTTAGATGGTGCTCCATTAATTGCTCTCTGGAATTGCCCTATAAAAGACTATGAATTCATATTGAGGAGCAGTGGTAGGGACTTCCTCCCCATGGAGAGGCTGTCTCCTCTTAAATTGACAAATACTGCATCATTCTCAAAGAGGAAGAAGTTAATGTATCCAATTCTGAGAAAGAGGTCCTATGATCCCGTTATTTCTATTAACGTTTCCAATTCATATTTCATTTTGAAATAAAACAGCATTTGTTGATTACCTTCTTTTTAGAAGATGAGCACATAAATATTACCTCCTCTGGAAGACTTGCAGCATGATCTTAGGCCTATATTTTATTTACAGATTAAGCTCAATATTCTGAACTGGCTTCCGCATCTTCCATCTGTTTTGTAATATCTCTTCTGTCAAGAAGAAAAAAAATCCCTAAAACCAAAAACTTGATATTCAAGATAAAAAATGCAAAAGCCAAGTCAATATTGTCATTGCAAGATGGCAGTCTCAATGACTTTCTTAGATCAGGGCTGTTCTTCCAGACTAAGTTACAGAATGAAAAAAACCCCTTTTACTCACAGTGAGATGTTGAGAAGTTTTAAGACTCACCAGTAAACACTCATGTTACTCAGTTAGCAGAGAGCAAAGATTGTATGCAATTCTCTCCATGTCTCATTTTATTTCCTCTACTCAATCAAACTTTAATATATTTGTATTGTCTCTTCTCTCTTGCTTAAAAAAATCACCTAAGTCTGCAAAATTTAATGTTCCAGGATGACTAAGGCATTGAGGAAATTTTTGTTTCATCAGTGCCTTTTTGGTTCAGTAGTTGAAGAACATTTACTGGTAGATCCTTCCCGTTACAATGTCATTAGCATCCACCAGTGGTATCTAACGATAGCTTTCTCAAGATGAATGTACTTTTCAAGATTTCCGCAGGAGGACGGTTTGGAGTAGTTTCCTGGGGACTCAGGCAAACTTATGTTTTGAGTGAGGATACCAGTGTTGTTTTTAAAAAAAAGAAAAAAAAGTGCCTTGCACAGAGATGTGACTGCACAGGGGCCATTGGAACCGGTGACTATAATCTTGATCACCACCTCTCTCTTCTATTATCAAGGGAATCATCCAAGATGGGAAAATCATCCTTATGCCAAATGGATACATAACTCAATGTCCGAATCTGAATCGCAGTAAGTAGCAATTTGAAGCATTTATAAATTTCTATTACTATGTAACTTATTGGTAATAAACATGTTGCCGGAAGCATAAAAACTGTTGACTTCTGAGGTAGTGGGGATAGGGAGATAATTAATTATCTATACTATATACTTCTGTGTCTTTGAATTTTTAAAAAGTTTGTGTTTATAGAATTACCACTGGAAGGTAAGAAAAAGACTACATTAAAAGTTTGGGTTCTGTAGATTGATGCAGGAAGATAGGTTTAATATGGTAGTATAAATCATAAACATTTATTTAAACTGCTTGGCTTAGATGTGTGTTGAGTTTCTCCTCTTCTGTATAACGATTCACATTTTTACAGTTACCTCTCAATAAAGACAAGGGTTTAATTTTAATTTAAAAAATGTCCTATTGCCTTTTCAGTTAATAGTCCTTTTTTCCTATTCCTTTCTTTCCTCCTGTTAATAAAAGGAAAAGACCAAGACTTGAAATCCTGGGTGATTTCACTCCAATTGTAAAGTAATACTTAGCCAGAAAAGCAAAAACCCTTCAACATAGCCAAGCAACTACTGTTGTAAGAATTTCTTTATTGTTTTAGCACTGTATCAACATTTCTTATATTTTCTCTATTGAGCTTGTCCAACTTGCAGTGATTTCTTAAGCCTGGTGCAAGGAATAATGGATTTGCAAGAGCTTTTGGCCAAGATGACTGCAAAAGTAGGTATCTGAATTTCACTTGTGATGTTTCATTGTCTTTCTCCATCTTACCTGGAATTTCAAGCGATATGCTATAATGGAAACATTTTTAGCCTTGGTATCTGCAATATGTTAATATAAAAAATGGTTTACTGTTACTTGAAATAGGACTACCTATAGTAAACATAACCATTTACCTCTTTGATGCTATTAGGCTATATCAAAATGTTTGCTTGAAGAATGCTTGGAAGAAAGAGGCCATATAGATCACTGTAGATTCCCTGGGAGAGGAAAAGGAATTTGCCCACTGGCCATTCAACTAGTAACACTGTGAGATGGTACATGGTCAGAGACACTGCTGCTTCTAAGCTAATGCGTTTTGAGTGTAAAAATTATTGCCGATAATCAGAAGGGGCAAAATAGCCATTGTTAGGAACAGATTGCTGTCACAAGAAGGCATTATGTCACTTTTCTAAGATGTGATTCATTTCAGGACTGGTCTTGAGTTAAATAGTAGAGGAGGCAAAGTTTCTCTTTTAACACATTCAGTTTTATAGTTGTACATTCTTTCCTTCTCTCCATCATCCAATTAACAAGCATCTTCCGAGGATCTGCTGTTGGCCAGGCGCTGTGTCAGACACAAAGGAGTCGGTCGTGAACGAGACATGATTCCTGCTCCAGAAGATAGCTGAAAATGTGGACAATTAGAGGCTTTAATATGTGAAGTTTAGATTCATAATGAAAAGCCCTGAGCCCTGTGTTGAAAGGCACTGAATAAAGAGAAAATGTGTCTAATGCTGTTGTTATGATACCAATCAGTCGTGGACGTGAGTCCCAGCCTAGGGCGAAGAAGGAATTAGGTTGGGCCTAAGAGACATTATACTCTGTGAAAGGAAGAATTTTAATAACAGTGAAAATGATACATTAATCCTATTCCCATCTGCGGCTATGACTGCTCCCAGCCATCAGCCATGGCACGTGAAAAAAAAAAATTGGTGGGTAGGTAAGTGTTTGGGAGGCAGGCTGTGTTTTGGACCCATCGGTTGTGCTACCGAAGGTAAGGTTTCTCTTTCAAACTAGGTTTTTGGCCAAGTCATCTTTTGTCTGGAAAGGAGAGACAGAACACTTTTGTTAGAAACCCTGAGACTTGAGAGCTGAAGCATTAGCTTTTCAGCTCAGAGTACAGTGGAAATGTGAAATGCAGCCAACTATTTGCCTTCCCAGCTTGTGGCATATAGAGACTTGTATTTTTTATTTTGTCTGGAGCAGCTTGATCTCAATAGTGTTAATTATATTTTAGCTTGCTACCAAAGTTTTGAAACGAGAAACATGTCTTAGTCTCAGGTGATTGTGGTTCCCCAGCTTTAAGGATGCTCCTTTCTTTCTTGTTCTTACCTTCTGCAGAGAATGTCATTTTTCTCTTTTTAGCCATACATTATCTAGGAACCACATTGAGTTCGGTCCTCCAAACATTATTATGTAAAATGGGCATTTGTGAGGCAGTAGATATCTAATTGTGGGCAATTGCAAGCAGAAAATGGTTTCATCCACCTTCTAAACCCTGCCTCTGGTGCTTTGGAAGATTTATAAGTCTGTTTCTTCCAAACCGTGAATAGAATTATAATTAGAAAACTGAGAACTTCCATTTTCACTGCAAAATTTTGAAATCTACAATAATCTAGAAAAGGAGCGCTGGTAAACTTTTTCTGGAAAGGATTAGCTAGTTAATTTTAGGCTCTGCAGGCCAAGAGGCAAAATAGAAAATATGTACATTTTTACTTAAATATAATCACTTAAAATATAACCCTTGAAAAATGTAAAAATCTTTCTTAGCTGATAGACTGGAGGAAAATGAGTGGGTGGCCAGATTTGGTCCATGGGCCCTAATTTGTCAACCCCTAATTTAGAAAAAGCTGGAAAGTCAGTCATAGGAGGTAATATTTATTGAGTATTTGCTGTGTGTTAGTTACAATGCTTAAATGTTTTGTATTTCTTATCACTTTAATCCTCACAACAGTCCTGTGAGTTGGGGTTGATTTATTAGCCCGCTTCCCAGATGAGAAGACTCCATTCCAGGAATGTTATGTTAACTTTTCCCAAGACAATGGATGGCAGAGCTGGGACTCAGGCTCAGATTCTGAAAGCTGCATCATGACTAAGAATGTCTGTAGTTGGAGAAGGGAGGATTGGAAAGAAAAACAAAAGATGTCAAGTAGGAATGACTGATGGAGAGAGGCAGGTTGGCCACTACCAGCGTGGGGATAGAGATTGGTAAGAACAATGGGCAAAATGGAAGAGAGGAATGTGTGTTCTGATCGTACCTGTTGGGAGTGAAACATGAGCGTAGAGCTTGTAGTAGCTTTTGGAGGGGGAAAAGTCAGGGCAGGAACAAAGCTCCTAAACTTACCCTTTTGGTTATAGTCCATTGTTTTCCTTGGAAATCTGTTGATGTTGAGTCCTGGGTTCCCATGCTCTGTGTTTCTGGCAGGACCACGCAGGGCCATCTTATATACCCTTAAAGGTTTTCAGATCTTAGAGGCTGCTCAGAATCACACTGCAAACCTAGGATAGACCAGGTGAATTCTCAGCCAAGAATTCTTTAAGAATTATCAAGGAAGATATTTCCCTCTTTACTGTGCCAAGGTCTGAACAGGAAGGTCTTTTTCTGTGCTTCGTGCAAACATTGTTTACTTTATGTGTACTCTCAAACTGAGGACACAGGCCTTTGGGGCCACATCTTTGTGTAGGAGTTCCCTTTAAGACCTCCCAACATGGACAGACCCTTCTCCCTAACTTCTCTCCCCTGCGCAGCCATCAAAGTGGGAGCTTGGAGGCTCATTGACCTTTGCCCAGTTGCCGTTTCCCCATATTTAAAAGGGTGACCATTAATTGTGGTTTTATGAAGATCCCATGAGACCAGGCAAGTGAGACTCACAGGTCTGGTTTGGTGGATGGCACGCAATAGGTACTCAATAAGCTGTAGTTGTTCATTTTGTGTTAAACCTAGGAAAAAAATAGGCAGCCATGGGGGGAAGATAGTCACTAAGAAAATGGACACCTTGCCTAGTGGCTTGGCATCACAAAGCCTGGCAATAGCCGTGAGTCGCTCTCAGGTTCCTGGTCTTAGAGTGAGGTGCCAGGAGGTCTTGGAAAGCAGCAGAATGTCCTTACATGGTGTCCTAGTGGAAAGCCATAGAATCCTACCAGAGAGCAAGCCCAGTGCACAAGCTGGACAGGAGTTGGTAGCCATAATCACATCAAACAGCTGTGACACCAGATGAGCCCAGGGGTCTGCCCAGGAGGGCTTGCTGTTTCTTTTCTCTCTTCAGGACAGGGGCTGCTGGAGAATAACTATGCTCTTGCTGAATACGGGACATATCGTGGGAGCAGTTTGCATGTATCTTCAGGTGACAGGTCCGGGTGTATAAGAGCCCTCTTTGAAGAATCCTGGCATTATGGCAAAATGAACCTTTTTCAAGGTAGAGGAGGTACAGGGAAGGAGGGAAGGTGTCTTCTGTCCCTTTCCCTAAGCCATCTACAAGAGACCACGGATACCTGGCTTACTCTGGAAGTTCTCTCAGGTAGTCTTGACATTGTGGGAATAATCCCATTGCTGGCCAGGTACATGGTGATGAGGTCGGGACTTGTCTTTGTCTTGTGTCCCACCTGTCCTGTAATTGCATTCTGCCTTCAAGTTTGGGAAGAAGAGATGCTGGACTGGGAATTTGATTACTTCTATTCAAATCTTTGACAAATCTATTTATGCAAATCAAGCAGCACTTGGAGTGGCATTTCAGCTTGTAACATATTTAATTTTGAGACTTTCATTGTTGCAAACTCAATAGTGATTTTTCCAGTTAAGCTCAAAGGTTTAACACAATAAAAGATTTTTTTCCCTTCAATGTAGCAAGTGCCAAATAAATAGTATTTCAAAGAAAGAAAAGCACACCCCATTGCATGACTAATGTACTCATCCATTTGTTGACCTCTTACTGTGAAAAAGGCCTCTGATGTCTGTCTTCGAATGTGTAGAGTTAAGAATAAATGATTCTGTCCGTGGTTGCTTAGATAAATGCATGAACAAAGGTAAGAATAGAGATGTAGATTTGCTACTGGATCTATTTTGGATCTGTAGGCATTCTTGGAGGGAATGGTAGGTGGTGTAGAAATAGCTTTTGAAAATGAATTTGGGTAAAATCAGCATGCTAATACCAATGAAAAATTGTAATTCAATTTTTGGTTCAGAGTTGTTTTTCTCCTTTTATTCTAGTATTTAGCAGGGGAGGAAAAGGAAGGTATAGTTACATATTAAGTGTCTTTGAAAAATTAGCTTTTTGCCTTAATATGTCTTTTCTTTTGTGTCTGTCTCATGTGCTCTTATTACAGAGATTAGGGCTTTTCAGTGTTGTCAGGAAAGGCTAAATATATTAAAAAATACAAAATAACTGTCCTGAGAATAGCTTTCATTAAAACCGAGGTTTTCTTGGTATTGAGTTTTGCAGGTAGCTCAGTTTTGTTGGACAGTATGGGAAATTGACAATACTGCTTTTTTAGGCAAATTCCTGGGTTTTAAGGAAACTTGGGCAGTCACAGAATTGCCTTTTGAGTCATTTAGTCTTTAAGAAGTTTCTGGGAGTGGTGCAGGCAGTAGATCTTTCCAGATTTTCAGAGTGAGGTTCATTTCTTTTTACAAATGCACTGTTCTCAGCCACTTTTAGGAGGGATGCAGGTCTAGTTGAACTCTTTTTCAACCCCAGGTCATCCATCAATCACTACCCTTTTGTAGGAACTACAGGGGCTATAGACATGAAGTAAAGGTAATATGCAATAAGTTGTCACTTCTTGCTACCTCTTACCTATATGTGGTTTTACTCACTTGACCTCACCAAATTCTAAGAAGTGTATTTAATGTGTTCCCTAAAGAATTCCCAAAGAAATTAATTAGCATGGATTCTAGAAACTAATTAAGCTAGAACTTTACATGGATCTGAATTTTTGGAAGATTGTGCATATGGGAGGGGTCCTAGGAAGCTAATATTTTAGGCATAGTTAACTCCGCATTTTCTGGGGGCTGATGATGGTGCATGTGGTTTGTCTAGCGTCCTATTTGCTTTTTTACCTGCCCATTGGTACTGCCTACAAAAGGCAGATAGGAACTATTTTTCTTGAGAGATTCTAAACTTTGGGAGGAAGAGAATGAAATAAATGACCAAAGCCAAGTTTGGAATTGCATGTGGATTCCATTTTTAGAGAATGGTGCTCAGCAGTGCCGGTAGGAGTAATTGAGAGGAACATGTAAGGAATGGAACCATAGTTAGCATAGAAAGATTCTGGGAGTCCTCAACCCATATTCAACCATTATATCTAAAATATTGGCTTGAAATAGTCTTACTTGGATCAGAGATGGGCTTGATCTATGTGGGGAAAATACTGAAGACACAGAGGTATAAGTGTGGTCGAGAAAGAAAATAGAAACTACTTGGACTTTTAGAAAGTAGTGTTTGTTTTTCAATCAAGGCAGTCTCTAAAGAAAAGGGGAAAATGATAATACTGCTATTGGATTGAATTACACTTGAGTGTGTGTGAGATTCTGTCAGAGTTGAATTTTTTTGTACCATATGTTTGAAGCCAACTGCAGTAGCTGCATGGAAAGTGATCAGGAGAGAGGATTGGACTCCTACCATGATGACCTATTCAGTGAACCTGGTGGTGCTGAGTGTGGTCAAGAGCAGATGTGAAGATGGGCTAACCTCAGATGTTGGAAGAGAGTAGATTGCTTAGGATCGGTTACCAGGCAAAACTAGGTCTGATAGGAAAAGCAGGGAGAGATTTCACAGCTCACACCAAGAAAGGGGTTTCAAACATCCAGAGCTAACCAAAAAAAGTTTTTAAAGATAGCGTCCTGCCGCTGTAGACATGCAAAGGAAGGCTGGTAAATCACTGGAAGGGGGTTACTTGTCATGACATTCAAACTTTATAACCCTTTTCAAGTCAGAGACTCTGAGGTTCTGTGATAACTGATAATAGCTGGAGGACCTAGGAAAATGAAACAAGTTTCTCTCTCAAATCCTGATCTCACCTAGGGGTTTGGTTTCCTCTCCTTACCTTTGAACACCAAAGTGGATCCCTGGGGCATTCATTCTGGGGGATCCTGATCAGGCAGGGGAGAAACTATATCCTTGTACGCATTTCCCTTTTCCTGGCCCCAGCTCCCAGGAATTTTTCAGAAGGGAGGAATCCGTGACTTCCCAGCCTGAAAACCGTTGTGCTCGGGTTAGTGTGCGAACACGGAGAGAATGGTGGGAGGTAAATGTGAGTGCATCAGAGTTGCTGATGAGGTCTCCTGTAAATATTGTAATGAGTCCTTGAGAACTCATTCATTATGAGTGTTTCTGTGTGGGCTTGAGCTGGAAGCACACATGTTTATGTACACCCATGAGGTCCCTGAGATACAGTTTAATGTCTCATTTGGTGCTCATTAGACCATGGGAGCCAATATGTCTTCAGTATAGAATGATTCCACCTCATTGTGTTTTGTTTTGTCTTTTTTAATAATCTGGCTAAGAATAAGTCAGCTGCTCTGAGCACTTTTTTCCTCCTCCTCCTCGGATTTTTTTTTTTTTTTCCTCGTTGCTTTTAGCTTTGTTAGGACAATGCAACTGAATGAAAGTAATTACACCTAGTAACTCTTATTTGCAGTTAAATTATGCAGAGACGAGACTTAGTCAGATGGAAAACTGTCACTGTGAGAAGACCTGTCAAGTGAGTGGACTTCTCTATAGAGATCAAGACTCCTGGGTTGACGGGGATCACTGCCGGAACTGCACTTGCAAAGTAAGCCTCTTTGTAAATAAAAAGAGTTGTAAGGGGGCATTTTCACTACTTATTGTATGATCTGGTCTTGCAATATACAATGCTGGCTTTAGGAAGTCCCTATGATCCTTTTACTAAACTTCTGCCTAGCAATCTGAACAATTGTGAGGGGAACCTGGAAGAGTGTCATTTCATCTCTAAATACTTGGAAATTAAAATCTGCTTCTATTTGACAGCACACTCTAATAGGACCTAACCTTGTTACTAACAAACTTACTGTGTGGAGTTTGAGGATTGAGAGTGTCAGAGGGAAGAAGGGACTCCTGTGATTTTTCAGGCAACCCAACGGTTAGCTTCATTCACAACTTTTCACTGCTAGAATACATTTTAAAAGGGGGTATAATTGGGTGCCTGGGTGGCTCAGTTGGTTAAGCGACTGCCTTCGGCTCAGGTCATGATCCTGGAGTCTCAGGATCGAGTCCCGCATCGGGCTCCCTGCTCGGC